GAGCTGCCCCGGGGTGTGTGTGTGTGGGGGGGGGGGGGCTCCAGAACGAAGCGGACCGGACTGGTGCCTTGTAATGAGCCCCGGGTGTAGCCGCCGGGGATACGCAGATGGATCTTGCGCGGCGCGTGCGAGAGCTGCTCTCAGAGGATCCGTTGGCAGGCGCCCTTGTCAGCTCGCTCACAGGTGGTGATGCGGCAGAGAGCTCTGCTGCGGGGAAGTTGCGGGAAAAAGGCTCTGCATGCGATGGATGGTTACACGCAACGTAGGCATAAAAAACCGGAACATTTCTGGTAAAGCCGGATGCGTTCATGACCTCGAAGGCAGTGGCGGTGGCTCTCGCTGGGGGAGATGCTCCTGACTCGTCATATGTCGCCATCTTTCCCGTTGCAGCGTTATCTGATACGCCACGCTAGGGCGTGGGAACGTGGAACCCGTATGGACTAGTGGGGTCGATCAGACTCAGATTCATATCTCGCTCAACGAGAGTGAATGATCTGCTCTTATCTCTCTCTTTAACATGAATGCATTGAGTCACGGTGCAAACACATTTTCAGAAATGATGCGAAGTCAGTTGTCATCAATCAACAATCCATTGGTGTCGTAGTCTCAATGCGCGTGCCATTAATCGTAATAATTACTCAGGACGTTAGAATCTGGGGGCGACCCGAAATAGGCACAGCCGTCAAAGATTACGCTTAACCTGCCCAAATCACTAAAATGCAGTCAATGTAGCACGCGATCGGTGGTTGTCATGCCACCCTTAGCCTACGAGGATTAAAACAGCTGCAAAATGTGCTGTGACATGCAAGACTGCTGCCGATTTCCCACTGTTTCAACGGGTGGATCGGCCACGCTTTTTCAATTAAACCAGTAACTCAAGCTGTTTCTAAGCAGATGTGTCATATCAAAGTAAGGACATCATCGCTCACAAGCGGACGCACTTTCAAGCATTACTGATAGTCCATCGCGTGCATTAGCCTTTCACCAAAATCTCCGCATTCCACGCACACCAGCGGGACCTTCGCCACCGGCGACCCCAGTGAACGGTGGCCAGTGGCGAGCCGCCGAGCCTCTTGATGCGCCCGCGCGCGCGTGCCAGTCTCCCGGCCGGCCGGCCGGGCCGGGCCAGTGAAAGTGTTGGCACCGCGGCGCGGGGTCACCCTGTCCCGGATATGGCGTGTCTTAGGAGCGCTTCCTGCGCTTGCGGGCTGCGCCTCTGGGCCTGCGAGCTGCGCCTCCGTACCTGCGAGCAGCGCCTCCGCGCCCGCAAGGCTGGGGACAGCTCACGGAGCAGGCACAGAGGCTGGTCGGGAATCGGTGAGGTGAGGGCAGCCGGTGGAGGAGCGGCCGGAACCGACAGGACTATGACCTGCATGTACAAATCACGCGACAGCATGCTGCACATTTGCTAGCGTGTGGATTATTTGTGTGTCGCCTGCACAGCGCGTGCGAAGTGTTCCTTCATTGGCGACGCCGCTGTCCGTAGCGCTGAAGTGCTGTCCGTAGCGCTGGAGTGCTGATGAAGTTCGCAGTACTCACGCGTTCGGGGTCACGTATGCTCGAAGCTGACGCTTCACGTTATGTGCATTGCTTTATTTGACTCGGTCTGGATAACGGCATCACATGAGACCGTGATGTTATTTGGCTTAGCTAAGATGGTGGATATAAATCTGCACGTGACATCCCTCAGGCACATATGTAAATGGACTGCAGAAATAGCGAATAGCCGGGTAAATCTCGGCTCGGGCCTAGCGTGGAACTTACTCTGGCTACCTACAACTTTTTCCTGCAACTTTCAGAAGCCTGTTCCATTTTTTGGTTCATCTCGTTGCCCAATCCTGTCATGGAGCGCTCGCGACTATGCGATGGAGACATCACCACACAACTTTTTAAGTCTTAGCCATGATCCGAGGCGCAAAACATTCGTCCAAACCGTCCTAATCCTTCAATCCCAGCGCCTGGTCTCCTCCGCATAACCCCCTCCCCTCCCCCCCCCTCGCTGTACCGGCCGAAAGTCCGCGCTGTCGTATTGTGCAACCTGCCGGGACAGCGGGCGCGCGCGCGCGCGCGAGCCACCCAAGGGCGGCGAGGCTTCCCACGGCGTCGCCGATTGCTCGGTTTTTGCCGACACGGACACCGGTGTGCGAAAGCCGCCGCTTACGCCACGGCGTCGGCACCGCCCGTGGCGTGTGCCGGCCTGCGTCCTGCGGTCTCCATGTGTGTGAGGCGGGGCGGGTGACGGTGGGGGGGGGGGGGGGGGGGGCAGGCGCTGCGCGCCCGGCGGAGGGTGAAGCGGCAGCGCCGCTGAGATCGCCTCGGGCGGCGGGGTGGGATCGAGGTCATCCGGGGGGGGGGGGGGGGCGCCGGCTGGTGTTTCGCGCCGGGTGCCTTACCGAGCTGTGGTGGTGACGTAACCGGACAGGACAGCCACCGACTGTCCTGAATTGGACCGATGTTTGACATGTGTCGGTCATGTAGGGTGTTTTGATTTCTTTGATCGATGGCGTATGCCCAGCCTCTCACATTATTACGGGAATGCGATTATAAATCACGTCTGAGGTTAGTCAGCTACAAGGGCCATTCACCACGAGTAAAAGTGGCCCCCGCCAGCGCAGCAATCTATCCCTGGAAGAAGTCCCAATGCCGCCTTTCTTCACCAGCCTTTCACTCCATCGTCGAATCGGTGGGACTTGCCGCTGCTTTGTATACAGCGAAGGCGGCCAGTGCCGAGTCCCGCGGCCCGCACGTTGTACCTAATCACATTAATCTTGCCTCCACACGAACGGCGGCGAAGCCGCTGGGCCCCTTGCCTTACAAGCGGCAGGCTCGAGCGAGCTCTCCGCGACCTTCGGCCACCCGTGCAGCGCCGTTCTCCTCTGAGGTCACTGTCGTCCCACACAGGGGCGCTGGGCACACAGCTCTGCATACTGTGCAGCGCTCGCTCACGGGCCCGTGGCCTCTCCGAGGGTTGGATTGTCGGTGCAGGCTGACAAAAGGTCTCGGTGCCGCGCGTGGGAACCAGTGGCCTCTCCGCAGGGTCACTGTTGTCTCACGCAGCGCGGACGCGGCCGCGTCTGCACGTGGGAGGAGGCGGAGGTCACCCTCCGGGTGTCGGCGCCGGTGGTACCGGCCGACTCTCGGCTGCATTCTCCGTAACGGGAGAAGTCTGTCGTTGCTGGTGGTACCGGCCGACTCTCGGCTGCATTCTCCGTAACGGGAGAAGTCTGTCGTTGCTGGTGGTACCGGCCGACTCTCGGCTGCATTCTCCGTAACGGGAGAAGTCTGTCGTTGCTGGTGGTACCGGCCGACTCTCGGCTGCATTCTCCGTAACGGGAGAAGTCTGTCGCTGCTGGTGGTACCGGCCGACTCTCGGCTGCAGTCTCCGTAACGGGAGAAGTCTGTCGTTGCTGGTTGTACCGGCCGACTCTCGGCTGCAGTCTCCGTAACGGGAGAAGTCTGTCGTTGCTGGTGGTACCGGCCGACTCTCGGCTGCAGCCTCTCACGCCTGCCGGGCACTGCTACGTGTTACTTGCATGCGGGACGGCGGATGATAGGCGTTGATCTTCCGGTGCTCGCGTGGTGATGGACTGAAACATGAGAATAACGCTGAAGCCGCAGTCCGCTTTCTTTTTGTAGCGTAACGCCACCGAGCCACTTTTGCTGCAGTGGGGCTTGCTCGGCTGGGTATCCGAGGTCTCGACTCGCTCCTACCACCCAGCCTAGCTTTTCATTGTATGGATGTGGTGCTGGGGTTTGTTGCCTCTTGACAGATCACACTGTGTTATGCTTGTCGTTGGAGAGCGCTTGAAGCGTATGAATGGGCTGATGCTGCAAACGTTGGTCGAATTGATTTTTGGCTTGGACACTCTCCACACGGAGGTGGGTACTGACATGGCCGTAGCTATGATGACACCGTTATAAGTAATGCAAAAATGGCTGTTTAGTAGAAGCTGGAAAAACGCATTGAATGTTTGTGTTCATCTTTGTGTCTCTGTCTCTGTCTCTGTCTTGTCTGTCTCTGTCTCTGTCTGTCTCTGTCTCTGTCTCGGTCTCTGTCTCTGTGTCTCTGTCTCTGTCTCTGTCTCTGTCGTCTCTGTCTCTGTCTCTGTCTCTGTCTCTGTCTCTGTCTCTGTCTCTGTCTCTGTCTCGGTCTCTGTCTTGTCTCTGTCTCTGTCTCTGTCTCTGTCTCTGTCTCTGTCTCTGTCTCTGTCTCTGTCTCTGTCTCTGTCTCTGTCTCTGTATGTCTCTCTGTCTCTGTCTATGTCTCTGTCTCTGTCTCGGTCTCTGTCTCTGTCTCTGTCTCTGTCTCTGTCTCTGTCTCTGTCTCTGTCTCTGTCTCTGTCTCTGTCTCGTCTCTGTCTCTGTCTCGTCTCTGTCTTGTCTCTGTCTCTGTCTCTGTCTCTGTCTCTGTCTCTGTCTCTGTCTCTGTCTCTGTCTCTGTCTCGGTCTCTGTCTCTGTCTCTGTCTCTGTCTCTGTCTCTGTCTCTGTCTGTCTCTGTCTCTGTCTCTGTCTCTGTCTCTGTCTCTGTCTCTGTCTCTGTCTCTGTCTCTGTCTCTGTCTCTGTCTCTGTCCTGTCTCTGTCTCTGTCTCTGTCTCTGTCTCTGTCTCTGTCTCTGTCTCTGTCGCTGTCTCTTCTCTGTCGTCTCTGTCTGTCTCTGTCTGTCTCTCTCTCTTCTCTCTCTCTCTCTCTCTCTCTCTTTCTCTCTCTCTCTCTCTCTCTCTCTCTCTCTCTCTCTCTCTCTCTCTCTCTCTCTCTCTCTCTCTCTCTCTCTCTCTCTCTCTCTCTCTCTCTCTCTCTCTCTCTCTTTCTCTCTTCACATGGCACGAATTGGCTGGCTGGGACACAGTACAGGATAGTATGTGCGAAGAGGACACCTCTGTTTCTCCGAATGTCGAAGGTGCCGCTGGTTGATGGCCATCAGCACCATGGCAACGGAGATGTTAGTGTCGGCTTTGCTCAGACGCTGCGCTGTGTTGACGTAACGGTGCTTTGTTGCAGATTCGCCCGTTATGGGCATTTCTTGCCTGCTGTCTGCTCTACGCCTCAACAACAGGTGAGCTTGGATAGGCGGAACGATCACGAAACGCCGTCGTCTGGTACGCGTTTGAAAACAAACGGATTTCGCGCATGCGAGAACACGAGAATGACAGGCATACATGGAACGACGCTCAAAATGTTCCTCCGAGAGTTCCCGAGGTACCGTTGGGACCTTGTGATCAAGGCGACACAGGAAAATATCACGCATACCTTTCTGTGAAACGTGTGTATGATTGGACTGCGCGAACTTTTGGCATTCGGGAGAATTCCAGTTGCATGCAACCATTTGTTCGTACGGGACTTTTCATAGTGCATTTACATTCTTGATAACGGGGTTGCTGTAGCTTAATTTATTGGTTTTTACTGTGGAACAAATTCCAAACATTTTACGGTAACAGAGACTTCTAGTGTTTTACGCTGCAACTGTGTAAGACACATCCACATACACACACACACACACACATACACACACACACACACACACACACACACACACACACACACACACACACACACACACACACACACACACACACACACACACACATCCACGCACACACACACACACAGAAGATCCGCACACAAAAGATCCACCATTCTCGTACTGGACGACGATCTACCTTCGCCCTGTCACAAGTCAGCTCCATCAGATACTCAGGCCAGATCTCTAGACAAACCTGGTATTGTGTATGTCTCTTCAAATTATGACTCCAGGAAGTGAGAACCACACAGTTGTCGATGGATGGACATGTCACCACTGCAGAGCTGAGAACTGTCATTCTAGAGTGACATGTGGCTCGTCCTTGGTCGTAAACAATGCGCATGCCACTCAGCTCACCTTCTTGGCGCCTGGCTTCTATGATAAAATGTCACTGAGGGCGTTTTGCACAGTTTTTGTCACACTCCGTTTCTGTGTTTTTTTTTTAGTTCGCAAGCAGATAGGATATGACGTTCGGCGTTTGAAGTAGCGAAAGCAAAGTTATGTATGCATGACTGTGGACCTAAGCTCAGAGGATTCTAAGAAGTCTGAGTACGCCTCACGCATGACCAAAAATCACGCGCCGTTTTCCGTAGAAGTGTTAATAAAAAAGGATTTGCGGGAACCTTCCAGTACCCGAGTTGCAGTCTGTCTGGAGTACAACTTTTGCGGTGTGAGTCTGCAGCATGGACAGATACGAAAGCGGTGTTAAAGTTAAGTCCTCGTATTACGGCCATCCCAAGTCCACCTTATCTTCCCTCGCGTCCCACCCCCTCCTTTTTCTCCCCGCCGTGCGGAATGTGAAAGGCGACCATCGCTATCACCATGCAAACCTGCAGGCCACACTGTGGGTCTTCTTGCTATCTCGTCCCCTACCCAGCACTTCAGGACTTCCCAAGCTCTGCCAGGCTCCGGGCAGAGACGAGCCCTGCTACTCTACCATCCCTTTCCCGTCCGTCAGGCTCCGGGCAGAGAAGAGCCCTGCTCCTGTGCCCACCCTTTCCTTTCTGTCAAGCTCCGGGCAGGGATGAGACCTGTTCCTATGCCCTCCCTCTCCCTTCCGTCAGGCTCCGGGCGGAGATGAGCCCTGCTGCTGTGTCCACCCTTCCCTCTCGTCCTCTCCCAGCCTAGTCACGCAACACACGGTGATGAAGTATGCGGGAGCCAACGTAAAAGATGCATGGAAAGAACTCAGTTCGCGCGGTTTCATTTTAATCTACTTAGCGTTGACTGCGAGCTGGCAACAAGGCAGTTCATCTAGCGAAGGTGCTGATCGTTTCTGCAGTCGGCTTTGAAATGACAAGATGATTGCTAAACGTGGATGACCTGTGCGGAAACAGCCTGCTGTCCCGGACGGTGCCTCAGACGGAGAAGGCTTCACCTTGCCCCAGACCCATTGTCTGTGCTGCATGATTAACCCCTGGCCTGACCAACCGCCTCGATGGCCTTGCTCCCGACTTGTTCGCGCGCGGTGGTTAATCCAGACATGTGCCGTTGTAACCGTACCAAATTTGGCACACCATTAGCGGCCATTCGTTCACAGGCATTTTCAAGTGACTTCTGGTCGAAGCTCTTTAGGCTCATAGCATCCAGGCAAATCACCCGCCGTCCAGTGGTACAGCGTACCGGCGCTGGGGCATCTAGCTGCTAACTCACAAGCCTCTGGAGAAAGTCGCGGCTGAGCTGGACCGACTGGGCAGTTCTTCCCCTTTTTCGGAGTTGAAGCAATGCTCACTCGACCTCGCCGGACCTGATAATGACCCATTGTTTTGAAATCGTGTCGTGGAGTCGGTGGCCACTCCTCATCGCGCCAACGCCATTGTGAGCGGCCTCAGTCTGCCATCCTCCGTGGAGGCTTTGTACGCGATGGTCTGCGGCCACGGCGAGCTCTACCGACGCATAAATGTGGCTTCATTTTGATGAAGTTAGGCTTTGTTCTTGGATGGCAAGGTCAGAGTTAAAAGGTATGGCAGGTCTGAGCTAAAACAGCACACACGTGCATACAAAATTGTTGACAACTTTGCTGTCCGGATTCGTACACCGGAACACAGCGTATGTTTTAACTTATCTCAATGATGACCCCCTTAGTTTACATTTACACGCTCTGGTAAAGTGACCGGTTCTCGTCCTCCTGGTGAAATTCTGCAAATAATTTTGTAACATTTTTAGTCGAGCGCCACGGAAGTCTTCAGCTGCATGGCTGGAGCAGTATGCTTTCTAGACATTTTTTTGTGTGATTGTATGATACCCTTCGTTTTTACAGCTCCTTCGTTGTATGACTGAGTCATGCTATGAACAACCTACTGCTTCGACCGGGTATTGCCGAGCCATCTCTGGCCTAAACCGCGCGAATCATACATGTCATTATCTGTAGCGGGGAAAATATGTCTCAGTGACAACGTGTCCACACCAACATACTGCCATGCGCACACACACACACCAGACCTTCGGGCTTGTCAAACTGCTGTTCTCTACATTACTGCCTGCACTGAAAACAAAGCAGGATGAAATTGTCCATATGGTGAATTAATTAAGTCGCTCGCAATCACGCGCCATGCAGGTAGGTACAAAAATTCTAGTATGTACAGGATTCTGATAAATTCGTTACCTGTAAGCACGCTTGATCCCGACACCTGTAAATTGCTTGACCACTAAATTCTAGCACGCCAGTGTCCGGGAGAAGCTCACATGGATGAAGTGGGACGCGAATGGAATGGGACGCGAATGGAACGGAATATGATTCCTCGAACAGCCATGATCAGATCTCTGCACGCTCTGAGCACTGGCGGCAGCGAGAACACCGCTGCTCATCCTCGCGTGTCGACCTCCTGACCCTGCTCTGACAGAGTTCTGCTCGGCTGGCCGCGCGGCACGAGTCGCATGACGTCACCACCGTGGGGCGCCCTGATTGATGGACGGTCGGCAAGGACGCGTCACGTGACTCTTATCGAGGTGCTCCCGCACGGTCCGCACTGTTCGCTGCGATATCAATGTGGTTTCGATTGACTCTTCACTTTCCTTGTCTGATACGGACTTCCAACGAATGTCGCCAATTTTAGTAAAAAGGAACTTTTGACAGTGAATCGCACAAACGGCTCCAATTAATCACAGTCAAACATCTGCTGAACTGCCAAAATACTTTTACTTTCATTGACGTCTCGTACGGCTGACTGTCTTGTTAACACAGCGGAAACGCTAATATGCGACAACGCCGCAGCACTTATCAGGCAACTGATCTTGGAAAGCAGCAGCGAGCGAACACTGGGTCCTTCCAGCACGTGTCCTCTCGCGGGCCGCGCTACCCATTACATCCGGACAATGGCCGGCGAAAACGTGGAGAATGGACACGAACATCTGTTGTCCGGCGTGAACAGGGTGCTGTGCTTGCAGCCAGGAGACGCGGGAGCTCTGGCATAGCACGGAGGCGTGTAACGGGACGTCAAGGGCGGCAGATGCCACCACGCTGACAATCGCCGCAAGCAGGGCGGTACATGCAAGCTTGCTAGTGTTTCCGGCAACAAAATGGCCGCAAAAAGAGATAATGTGATCATGATGTAGTTATGCACTTCACCACTAAAATGTCCTCTTATCAGTGCGAGTAGGGTTCAAAATCGCAACCAGGGAAGGAGAAGAAACGTGCGTCTCTAAGCTCTGCCACAGCCACACGAGGAGAGACTAGATGTAGCGGGATAGATGACCGTGTCTCCATGTCTATCGGGCCGGGATGTGACCCTGTCTCCCTGTCTTTCGGGCCGGGATGTGACCGTGTCTCCTGTCTGTCGGGCCGAGATGTGATCGTCTGTCTGTCGGGCCGGGATGTGACCGTGTCTCCTGTCTGTCGGGGCCGGGGATGTGACCGTGTCTCCCTGTCTGTCGGGCCGGGATGTGACCGTGTCTCCCTGTCTGTTGGGCCGAGATGTGACCGTGTCTCCCTGTCTGTCCGGTCCGGGATGTGACCGTGTCTCCCTGTCTGTCGGGCTGGGATGTGGACCGTGTCCTCCGTTCTGTTGTGGCGCGAGATGTGACCGTGTCTCCCTGTCTGTCGGGCCGAGATGCGATCGTCTGTCTGTCGGGCCGGGATGTGACCGTGTCTCCCTATCCTTCGGGCCGGGATGTGACCGTGTCTCCCTGCCTGTTGGCTCGGGAAGTGGCTCACGTTCCACCTGGCTGACCGCCGCCCGGTTTCTCCGGGCCCGATTCACGGCCCCAGCTGTCGGTACAAGGATCTTATGACTGCATCCAGCGGCGCAGCCACAGCCTTGCCCTATTGCTTACTTCAGGCTCGTCTAATGAGGATAAGTGAATGCCTTTTAACTCATTTTTATGCTCATTTCAGATCAATAACTTTATCACAAGGACGGTAATAAAGTGATGCGAGCGTTCCTTTACGATAAAACACGGGATCCTTTGCCTTTCAGATATTCCATCACGCTTATGCTTTGGAGCGTTGTCCGATTCCTCAGCAATTTCATGTTAATAACCTTAAACCGGCTGCCACGCATGAAAAGAATGGCCCCGAGATATTATGCCGTTGGAGCTCCACTCACGACATTTTGTAATAAACTGACGCTTCGTTTCCATGGGCTGTTTGGAATATAGGCCAGATGCTTCAATGACCAAAAATACACACGCGGGGTCTGCGTCGATTAGGAAACCGTGGTGCCCCAGGCGCTGACGCGTCCGCTCAGCTCTTTTATCAGGGCACGCGCTTCCACTGGCCCACCACCCCGAATCTGGAGAACTGTGACGCCGTGTTTTCACTGCACGACCTGCGGCGACAGTTCGTGTGTGAGGTGCGCCACACTGGCCGCGATCGAGCCTCGATCAGACGAACGTGCTGAGGCCTCCGCTTCCCTAAAAACGCCGCCTCATCCCCAGACGGTGCCGTGAAGAAGACGCGGAAGCGTGTGGTGTGCTACTACACCAACTGGTCGGTGTACCGGCTGGGCCTGGCCAAGTACCTGCCGAACAACATTAACCCCCACCTGTGTACGCACCTGGTGTACGCCTTTGGAGGATTCGACGACGACTTTCAGCTGCAGCCGTTCGACAAGTACCAGGACATTGAGAAAGGTGGGTCGCCGGCTCCAGGTGGCGCGGTGAATGGCCGACGGGTCGAGGAAAATGTGGAATGACAGGTGATCCTTGAAGTCTAATTGCCCGACGTGAAAAACCCGTGGGGGAGGGGGAGGGGGCGTGACGCTGCCGCAGTCCCTGCCGGAAGATGCGTCATTCATTTGAAGCTGATGGCTCACGACATGACCTCGGTAACAAGGAGGGACCGTCCCGCCCATAGCCGCCCTTCTCCCCACACTGACCGTGTGGTGTCCTCGTGATCCACGGCAAGTGCTGCAGCGCCGGCGCATCCGTTTGGCCCATTTATGGAAGCCTCGCCGCTCGTGTCAACCGGACACCAGTTTGGATCGGTCAATACACCCTTTGTAATGAGTGCACGACATGGCCTACTGGAGGCAGCGTCAGGACAAAAAGTGGGAAGTGCTACGGATGATTGTAGGGCCTAATTACTGATGAACGGCGGGTCGTTATTGAAAAACGGCGGTAACGTTCTTGCTCGCCCTCCACCTTCTTCTCCGACTTCCTCCTCTCACCCCCTCTTCCGCGTCCTTCGCGTGTCTTCAATTTTATCGCTTCCTTCTCTCTCCCACTCTCGAGCCCCTCTCTGCTCTCACACCCTCTCTCTCCAGCGCCGCGTCATGGTCACGGTGCGGTGGTTTCATGCGCGATGACCCCGATCTGACGCCCCTGCAGCACTCAATCAGCGAACGGATCCACGTGCCCCAGATGGCAGCCACTATCGCCAGACTCCTCATAACTGCGGACCCCCTCACAACCCGGACTACTGCGGACTCCCTGATACCTCATAACCTGCGGACCCCCTCACAACCTGGACTCCTGCGGACTCCAGACTCCCTCATAACTGCGGACCCCTCACAACCTGGACTCCTGACGGACTCCTGACTCCTCATAAATGCGGACCCCTCACAACCTGGACTCCTGCGGACTCCAGACTCCTCATAACCTGCGGACCCCTCACAACCTGACTCTGTCGGACTCCTGACTCCTCATAACTGCGGGACCCCTCACACCCTGGACCCCTGCGGACTCCTGACTCCTCATAACTGCGGACCCCTCAAACCTGGACTCCTGCGGACTCCTGACTCCTCATAATCGGGCACCCCGCTTCTCCCTGTCCGTGGGCAGGCGCCTGTCACAATCTATTCGCGTCCCTCTCAACTCTGCCGGCGGTGAGCGTCCCGGTACCCCCCCCCCCCCCCCCCCCTCCCCCCTCCTCCTCCAGCGGGCTGCGGTTCCGCACGGACTTTGCACACAGCGGCACAAGGGCGCATCTGCCAATGACCGACGCCCAGCGGCGGGCGTTGGGAGGCACCCTCTCGCCGTCTCGTGCCATCGCAGACAATGGCCGGCGGGGCGTCTGTCGTGCTGCGGCCTCACGCATGGGTGGGCCGGGCTGCCGCCGCCGCCGCCGCCGCCGCCGCCGCCGCCGCCGCCGCTCTGGGGATCACTCGCTACCCTTCGTCCCTCCGGCCCATCTGGGGCAGCGGGTGTGGAGTGTGTTTTACATGAATCGATCAGGGTTAATGCAAGACGCTAAGGCTGATAGATGTAGCGGGCTGGGCAAGAGGCGGTGCACTCAGTGCAGGGAAGCGATGAACTTTTGACCGGTTTGGGATGTTTCGTAGGGACAACCTCCAAGATTGATGCGCCTGTTATTGCGCTCAATGAACCCAATGGTTGCATCTGATCACCTTGAGTGTGCTGAGAATCAAGATAAACGGCTGGGCTTCGGTAATCTGGAATACATTACTACCAGCACCGGTCACGGGATTGCACTTCTGTATACCCGCGTCGCTCACCGCCGTGTCCGCCGCCGTGTCCGCCTGATCTGACCCCTGTGACCCCGCCGTGCCCGCAGGCGGCTACGCGCGCTTCAACGGACTGAAGCAGTACAACAAGGGCCTGAGAACCCTGCTGGCGCTGGGTGGCTGGTCCGAGGGATCCGGCCGGTTCTCTGAGCTGGTGGCCGACCCCGAGAATCGTGCGAGGTGAGTGCTCATCAGCTCATGTGGACGTTTTTGATGGTGGAATATCCATGCCGGAAATCTCTGTTTTAATCATCAGCATCGGCTTGGTTAAAGCTGTGAAACCAACGTGCGAATTAATGCAAAGGTATTCGTGACATGACGTTCGTGTTGACGAAGAACTGTTCTCACCAAAGGCCCCGCGATTGGCACACTTCCGTTGGAATGATACACATGCATATCGTCGATTCATTGACCGATCACAGCCCGTGTGTGTTGCATCGTCAGGTTTACTTTGGTCTGATCAGGATTTATGATATGCACTGCTACCGTCCAATTAGGACTTTATCGTCGTTTAGCTGTGCTCAACAATGCTGTGGTTTCACTTTGATTTCGCCGCCACAAACGCAACGAAAGCGGTCTGATCTTGCTGGCTTCTTGTCCCGAAAGTGACATTTTTATCAATACGCATTGGAAGCCGGATGAACACCATACTTTGAGAAGCCTTTAAATTGTCCCGCTTTTCCTTTCCGCTGCGCCCGCCAATGAAATCGAGAGAGCCATCTCACCACTCTGGCAGCCACCTGTCCAGGCCGACCAGCTCGGCCTGTCTCCCCCCCCCCCCCACTCCCCCAGCCGGGGGCGGCGCGAGCCTCCGGTCGGCCATAAGGAAGTGGCCGCGGGGCGTGTCCAGTGTCCAGCGGGGCGTCGCCCAGTTCTGGAAGGCCAGCGGTGCGTGGAAGAAGCGTGCCCCCGGACCATGAACGTGCCGACTGCCGGGCGCCGCCGCGGGTTACAGAGCGAGCGGGTCGGCCCGCAAAGTGTCGCCTTCACTTTCGATAGGCAGCGCTTGAGCGCAGTCAGAGGGTGGTCGCGATGGTCGGCTCGTTATAATGGCGGCGGTGCTGCCGCTGTCTGCGGTAATTGCTGCTTCGGCAGAGCAGTTAGACGCCAGTAGTTGGCGGGCCTAAATGTCGGTTATTGGCCACCTATTACGATATCAATAAGCGGTGCCAGTTGGAAAGAAACTGCGTGTGGTCTCCAAATAACTGTCACTTCTGGGAGAGTAATGGGCTTCGGGAGACCCCGAATAACTTTTTTCTGGTAGCACTAAGATCGGCGTAGATAATTGTAAAATTACCAGGATCGATTGATGAAACAGCCAATGTCACAGGCACAGAATCCTTCACACCAGCTGTCGCGTGCGGCATATCCACCGTCAACAGTTTTGCTACCAGTTGTTTCGCTACCAGTTCGCTGAGCTCAACTGTTCAACAGTCGAGCTCAGCTCATTTACTTGTGTGTGATACCAGTAACACAAGAAAATGTATTGCATTAAGCGCAAATGACGACCAAATATGCTTGAAAGTGCACCGGCAGTTTGGAGACCACCGTTTCTTATTATGACCGATCCTGAATAAGAGGAAAGTACGCTTTTCAGTAAGGCTTGCAGATATGAAATCGGGAAGGTTTCTCAACTGATGTAAGGCGACTGTTGCGTTACTTCCCCTTATTTCAACAGAATAGGTGGCCCATCGCTTCCTAGCTCTAACCCATACATAGCTTGCGCTTAATTGCAGCAATGCATTGCTTGAATCAGATGTTCTTGGTTTTCAAACGCTCTTTGTGAACCACGACGAAGCCTGACAGCAGGGGAAGTCCAAGTCTTGCTTTGTAGAGCGGCATGTATGATATTGCCTCGACCAGGGCCGATGAAAGAGCGGCGACACGCTCTCGCAAGGTCTCCTAGTGAAAGCTAGTCTTCACCTCAGCGAAGGATGTGAAGTGTGCTCAGTGTAGAACCTCGCGCCTTGTTTCGAAGCCACATTCCTGAGTTAGGGCGTGGCCTGGCTGTGTGGAGCCACTCACGGATCAATAATGCCGTGGGAAGTGGGCCCAGAACAATCGGAAGCCTCAGCAATCCCATTAGGTGCCTGGCATTGTAGCCGCCCACGCCGGAGCTCTTTGAACCAGAGAAGGCCAAAGTGCAGCGACTGTCGCGGCGGTCTTCGACGAACTTCTAACGCAAACCATACATCTTACACGGAACCATTAGTGCTGGCTGTGGCTTGCGTCTCCAAGAGACTTATAGAAAACCATAAATTTGCAATTCTAGGCCATAAGAAAGTCTGAAATTGCATAATGGCACTGAGTAAACGCAGAGCTGCTTAAAATTAACCTGCTAACGATCCCAGGTGCGCTCGCCCGCGCAGCCTGACAAGGAGGTTAGATCGCCAGAGGTGTTAGCACCGCAGAAAAGACCCCCTGCGCGCGATGCGTCTTCCTCGCTCCGCTGAGCGTGCTGGTCCGTCAGGCCCCGGCGGTCGGCCCGACACGTGCCTTGACCCGGGGCGACCCGGCGCGCCGGGCTAATGGGCCGCGGGCCGTTTCGTCAACGCACGACGGGCGCCCGTGTTTGGACCGAGCATCACGCACTGGCTGCTCGGGCAGCGCAGGGGTGGGCGCCCCCTCCCTCCCTGCGGGGCGGGGCTGACGGCAGGTGTCGGCGCGTGAGGCGCTGACACGGCGTGGCTTTTATCACGCGAGCTGCGCTGGGTTGGGTGGAGGGGGCGATGACGAGGGGGGATTAATCCGCGCCGGAGACACTCGCTGCCCCGGGGTCATGACCGGCTCTGCAGCGGGTTATGGAGTGACGGCAGTTATGGGCTATGGTTATGGGCAGCGGGTTATGGGGACGGCGGGCCGTTCGATGGGTCAGCAGAGGAGCCGCTCAGCTTCTGCGGCGGCCAGACACCGCCAGACGGCCAACTGGCAGGTCTCGCCATCCTCGGATGAGTGATCGTGGGATTTTATCTGCTCAATCATCGCCGTTGGCAGATACCGATGGATTCAGTCCATGCAACGTCACGCTCGTCGGTGCGGTAAACGCATTCAAAACAAGGCCAGTTTCACGATTATCTTTGACAAGATCACGGAACTGACCGTCAGCGGTGTAATGCGAAACGGGCTCTTTCCCCGCGAGACCCATGACGGGCATTGTTCGAACACCCGTGCGAGGTGCGAAAGGTGCCGCGTCGGCAATGTCGAAAGGTGCAGTGGAGTTCCAACAGGTCCGACTGCCGGCAAGAGGTCTCGCCAGAACCTTTCGGGCGCATTCTATTCCTTTGCATAGCACAGCGCGACGTGAAGTCACGCGGCCTCTGCAGACACTCCTTGCGCTGCGTGGCATTCGCCGAGAGTATTTGCGACCACGAATTCCTAACAGGCTCTCCGAGACTCCTCGGCGACCACGGGAACCCTGTCAAGGTTATCCTCGCCTCATCGAACAGCTCTTGTAACGACCTCGGTAAACAGCTGTCCCGGGAACAAATGACGCCGCGTTGGGTGGGAGCTGCCGCTGCTGTGAGGACCGTCACGCACTAGATGTTCATACTACGCAACGGCCGTCCCTGGCCGAGCAGGTGGCGCCGCCGAGTTATGAAAGCCACCGATGACACCCAGGGGTGTTTACCAGTGGTTAGACGCAGCCACCAGCAGACCGTACGAACATATGTCCATTGAGTGCGCTGTCGGGGCCGAGTTTCGTAAAACGAAGCCACGGATGAACACGCTTTTGGATAGGGAATACAACGCATAAGCTTACGTCTCCGAGCATTGTCAGTTCTATTTCCGTTTTCTATTTGTAAGTCACCCGTGTTTGTGTTTGCGTTTGCATAGTACGTGGGTCCATAGTTTTGTTTTACAGTGAAATTAGACCCTCGCGTCCTGTCCCGTCCACATATCCAGAAAATATGGTGGTCGTGTATCCCTGATTTGGGAAAAGCGGAACTGATTTTCATCCTAACACCGATTAAGTGAATGACATGGTAAAATGACTTATCATCATACCGTTTACGCTGGGTGAGTTCCACGGAGAAATTGCATGATTGGCCATAGCTGAAGCCATTTAGGTGCAGCTGATCCGGTTCACCTGTTCCGGTTCATTGCACCCAGTCGGCAGCCACCATTATTTGCGCATAGCAGAAGTGGGTGCGCCGCCCGTAACGCGTTTTGAAGCACCCGCACCGTGATGTGTTGTTTCCATTTTTACGGCCAATTACCGCAGACAAATGGGTTACTGGTTTGTCTTGGCCCGCCCGTTTATCACGTGACGCGTCTGTCGCAAGCACCACGTCTCCATGGATCGGAGCCGGTTCATTCCCACACGGCCGGGCAGACTATGCCTCACCCTCCTGCTGCCATCAGTGGCAATGAGCCAAACCGCACCCTCCCCCTCCCCCAGCCCCCTCATCAGCTGGAACGAGCTGACCGGACCGTCTGACCCTGGGTGCCTGGGAAAGCAGCCCATGCAGGGCAACACCTCCCGTCGCGCCGCACTCCGCTGAAACACGCGGCGACCACGCCTGCCGCCCCGCCCCGCCGTCCAAGGTCACGCGGCGACCTTGACAGCGACTGGCTCCGGGGCGAAAACGGGGTCAGGGGGCGGCGGCGGGCCAGAGCGTTCTCAAAGGTCGCGACTGACTGGCTTTGCCGCGGCGGCAGGGATGAGGCATTGACGAAATCAGGGGCATCGGTTTGCCTCAATGGACGCTCGGGTCACGTTGGTCGTGCGTGAGGAGCGTTGCGACAGAGCCCCTGATTGCGGGCGCCGCGCGTGATTGTTTTGTACTGCTCTGGTTGAAAGCAGCCGCGTATGCGTGCAGCTTGAGGTGACGAAAGGCGATGATGTGAGCGATAGGGACGATTTCGCTTGGTTGGCGGGGCCGTTTTCGTCCGACGTGATATAGTGCGGGCCACCTGCTGTGAGATCCACCGCACGTTCCTCAGCGGCACGTATGGCGGTATGTATAACTCAGCGGACGCCGTCACGACCACAGCCAGTTGGCTCGCTTGTCATAACACAACGCTCTGTTTGGCGCAGGTTCATCTACAGCGTCCTGCGGTACTTGCGTCAGTACAACTTCGACGGCCTGGACTTGGACTGGGAGTACCCGGGCTCGCGCGCCGGCAGCGACTTCGCCGACAAGGAGAATTACGCCACGCTCTGCGAGGTGGGTCACGTGACCAGCGGTCGTATGGGCCGCGTCCTCCACTGCCAAACGGCGTCCACAAGTTGCAACCTATAACGCCAGAGGTAAGAGCGTCACACCAGGTTGCTAAGGCCTGGAGAATAGTCGCTTGTGTGTGACGTGAGCGCTTGTGACGTCATAGGTAGCAACTCAAGTAGGTGCCTTGCCGATGTGGAACGCGGCCCTGGGGTCACGAAGGCCACCGGGCACAAGTGTGTCGAGTACAATAATCACATGAGCGAAGGCGGGGTAGGTAACCGCGAAGCTAGTTAATTCAACCCGGGGTAAGATTTATGTCACAGATCTAAATTCCGAGTAATCAAGGTAACTGTTGATGACTCGGGGCTCGGTTTCACGATGCCAACAGTTTATATAATTGTACAGGGACTCACTCTCAAAGTGAAACGCTGCTCACACAGTTTTAGAACTACAGCCACCACAGAACCACAGCACAGTTATTCCGACAGCGTTTTCAAAGCTTTTGGCACCGCTTTTAGACCGGGGACACCCTCTGATAGCTGGGCACTGTTTTCACCTCCATTCGTGAACCCCAATGCTCTGGTGTCGGACCTCGAAAGGTCCTGGGAAAAGAACCGGGCACCGGCCGGCCGCAGCGGCAGCCGCAGTCAGCTGCTGCGAGCCTGTGGTTCACAGTTGGCATGGGCTGCACGATCAGCCGTGGCTGGAGCGGTTATCTTGGCTTTCCGGCCGCATTTTCCACGCCCTGACACGGGCATGCGGCCGACGTCACCGACAGCGTCACTGCAACGTCACCGGCGTCACTGACGCGTCGGACTACGATCAACTACAAACTACACCATCTGCAACTAAAACTACACCACGTTGCTCAGCCCCCAATTCATTTTGCGAAACTACGCCCCGATTTCCTGGAAAACAACCAGCGCCACCACGGCTTCACCATCCGCGCACTGACGTCACTCACGCCTCCGTGACGTCACCGGCAGGAGCTGCGCGCGGCGTTCGAGGACGAGTCGCAGAAGACGAACCGGCCGGCCCTGCTGCTGACGGTGGCCGTGCCAGCCGGCGTCTCCACCATCGAGAAGGGCTTCAACGTGCCCCGGCTCAACGCGTGAGTGAGCGGTGGGGCGTGACTGGGCGGCGGTGCAGGCGTGACGTCACTAGGCGGGAAGACTGTGGGCGTGACGTCACCACGCGGGCGGACTGCGGGGCGTGACGTCACCAGGGCGGGCGGACTTTGAGTGTCCCGCGGAACTCTGGGAGTGCCCCTCACACAGGCCCTGAGTCGGCTCACCTCCCGCCGCCGGCGTTGTGAGTGTTCCGTGGAACTCTGGGAGTGCCTCTCACACAGCCCCTGAATCAGCTCACCTCCCGCCGCCGGCGTTGTGGGTGTCCCGTAGAACTCTGGGAGTGCCCCTCACACAGGCCCCGAGTCGGCACGGCCTCCATCGCCGGCGCTGTGAGGGTCCCGCGGAACTCTGGGAGTGCCCCTCACACAGACCCTGAGTCGGCACACCTGCCGTCACCGGCGCGTGATTATGAGTGCGCCGTCGGGCGGACGTGTGAGGGCCGCTGTCGGTGGCAGGAGTGTCCCGGCAGCGGGACTAGGAGGAGTGACCGCTGGCAGTGCGACCGGAAGAGCTCCCGCAGCGGAGTGAGCGCCCCCAGCTGTGCGGTCCACGGTCATGCGCGCTGTTCTCTTGGCAACCAATCTCTATGACATTTTGCAGTGTTGCAATCTTATTAGCCGTCACAGCAAGCGGCGGTGAGAGACATCTCCAGCTGGCACAGTACCGCTAAAGCTTAATCCGCAGTCGGCGCCGACAGACGCTGGGCGGCGGTCTAGTCCTCGGCTCAATCCGGTCGCCGGAACGGCAGGGTCTTTGGGTCCCGTTGCAGTGTTGTCATGGACTGAGTCACGGCGGGGATGGGAGAGGAAGGGGGCGTCTTCAGGCCGCCCCTTCAGGCCGTCTCCCGGCTCCGGCGCGCCTGACCGCCTCACTTTCGCCAGCGCGGCCGGTCCGCCACCCGCTGCCCCTGAACGTGATTAGTGACCGGTCGAATCCCGGTTAACAGGCAGCCAATCGCGCTCGTTCTGCCGCGGCGGCGCGCGGCCGACTCCCTAAGGGCTCCTGGGGCTGTCTTGTGCTTTCCCCCCCTTATGAGACTGCGGCCTTGGGACAGCCGGCGATCTTGCCGGGAACCGTTAGACTCTGCCGAGTGGAACTCTCCAGCAGAAGCCAGACAGCTGCGGCATGCTCGTGTGGGTGGTCGCGCCAGTTACGGATGGGAGATGGCGACAGGAATGTGTTCTCAAATTTCCAGGTGCAAAGAGAGCTCATGGTTTCAAAAATTGGCAGGAGGAGCCGAATGGGAAGACAGCACAAAATTTGCCAACAACGGGTTTCTCCTCACGTTTGGCTTACCACCTTTCTAGCAGCTGCACTGCTAGGCAGCAAGGGATCGCCCGTCACAGTTATTCCAATACGAGGTGCGTGCTGCCAGTCCTTTTCAAAACAAAGACCAGTGTGGTGTGTCATGCGTTTGTCTATGACCTGGGGCCACCTGGGAGAGAGACAGAGAAAAGAGAGAGAGAGAGAGACAGAGAGAGAGAGAGTAGTAGAGAGAGGGACGAGAGAGGGAGAGAGAGAGAGAGAGAGAGAGAGAGAGAGAGAGAGAGAGAGAGGAGAGAGAGAGAGAGAGAGAGAGAGAGAGAGAGAGAGAGAGAGAGAGAGAGAGAGAGGAGAGAGGGAGAGAGGGAGAGAGCTCGCAGCACTACGACGCTGTTGGTGTGGCGATGCATCTCGGCTTTTACCGAAATCTCCTCGCAAACAAAAATGAACAGTCCTAGCGTGTGAAGCGCATTCTTGTCCTCCAGAGTCAGCTCGGTTGGCTGCATACCCAGGCGAGCTTTAAGGGTTAAATACGTGATTGGATCTCTTTGGGGGGGGGGGGGGCTGACGGTATGCACATGATGCAAGTAGAGCCTCCAAGGATGCCGCTTCTCCCGAGCGATTACTCGCACCCCGGGCGGGCTCAGCGGGGGTAAGGCAGCGCAATACCACTCAGCGATAAAGTCAGCCGAAATGACTGGGAATTGGGCCAATGGATGCGTCGAAACCCAAACATCACGCGTCATCGCCCGTAAAAGTGTCGTGAAACACTCCTGGCTAACGTCGTATGCTGCTGAAGAGTGCCGCTCGCGTGAGGTCCGACGGTGTCCAAGGAGTGGTGGAGCCGCCTGTCCGTGGCCTG